CATGAATTCTCTGAACCCAAGAAAAATTGAATGCCTTTCATGTAATGCTAGCGAAAAATGTTGGTTTAATAACGCGATATTCAGCCCTAACGGACGCTATTATGTATCCGAGTGTTTAGGTATGGTTGAATTAATTTCATTATTATAATGTTTTTCATTAAAATAATTTTTATCCAAAATCTAACGCCAAAAGGGCCTGAGATTCCGACAATACATCTGTTATCAGTCGATGAAAACAAATTCATTGAAACTCTGGACACGACCGCAAAATTGCGGACAGAATTGGAGACAAAGATGATGCCTAAAATAAAATACCTAACGATTCCCAACGATAAGGGGCTCGACATTCGAGTGGAACTCATTTTACCCCAAAGTCTCATTGAAGACGAAGACACTAAATATCCAGCGGTTATTGAAATGTATGTCAAAATACAAAACTATTATTCTGTATAAATAGTCATAATAATGAATTGCATTGAAAACAGCAATAATCTACCGAACACTCAATCAGTGAACTACGAGTACCGACTCGATTGGTCCCGATATTTAACGAGTAAAAAGGATTACATCACAATTCATATCGACGGCAGAGGCACCGGATATCAGGGAAACCGACATATGTTTGAAGTAATCGGGGAATTAGGCAAAGAAGAGATCCACGACTTGAAGATTGCCATTAAGTAAAATAAGTTTCTATTGATATATTGAGTAGTATTTAGCAACAATTATCTAAAACACATGTCTATTATATACAGTTATCTGAAAAAGAAGTTGCCGTACATCGATGAGGACAAGATCGTGGTGTGGGGCCGGGACTACGGGGGCTTCATAACCATGTCATTGTTGGCCACCACTGAGCCCACCACAGATAAGAAACACCCAAATATGGACATGGTCACCTGTGCCATTGCTGTCACTCCCATATCAAACTGGAAAAATTATTGTATGTTTTCTAAAATAGCCAAGCTTAAACACTTTTGTCTGATAAGTTTAAATCGTCGCACATGTAGTGTCGGTGTTTTCCGAGCGCTATATAGGACAGCCCTACTCTAACTATGACATCAATTACCAGAACTCGCGATTGACTCAAATCATTGAACAAAAACACAACAATCTGAAGAAGAAGACATTCCTCTTAGTTCACGGCACGAGTGATAAACGGGTGAACATCGACCACACAATGCTACTGATGAAGGAGTTGACCGATAAGTCGATTCAGTTCAAAGTCCAGGTACATTCACTAATTATTTAATTAATAATAATCTAGAATGATCTAGATACTCTACTCTCTGCTACTCTATGATTATCTAGATACTCAATGATCTAGATAATCTATAATTAATAATAAACATAGACATTAATTGAATGAAATATTGAGATCTAACTCACATATCATGTCTCCCCGACAGTTGTATCCGGACAGTGGTATCATAGAGTCGTGGGAGCGGTCGGTTCGCAAGCACTTCTACCTAACAATGGAGGACTTCTTTGCCAAATGCTTCCAAGTGGAGGACCAGGAGGAGGCCCTCGATCTCATCAACTTAACCCCGTGGAAGAAGAATGCGCCCAAAGTATAGGCGCCACTAAATCCTTGCTATGTATCGTACGGTTGAATGTAATTCAATATATTTTGAGCCCATTTGTCATCTATTCCTCTGTCGCCACAGATATGAGTGACACAAAAATGTTGGTCTCTTTTGAAAACATAAGACTCTAATTATTTGATAATATATTTAATCGCTTTTTATATGGATTTAGTGAATACGCCTTCCATTCAAACACAATGAAAGCTAATGTAATGTATAATTCAGATGAAAGGACTTTTAGTTGAATATCAATCCCATTTCATCTAATACACAGTAATTCAGACATTTTTTGTTTATTTAATTTTCTTATTATTTTTTAATTATTTTTCTTATATTTAATTATATATATTTTATAAAGATTAATATTTTATTTAATTACTAAAATTATTGCACAGAGCATTCAGATTTTTTCTAAACTATTAGTGAAATATTATGCAATGACTTACTTTTAATCAAATTATAATTATTAAATTTATGAAAATTCTTGAAAATAATGATACAAATATTCGGATAATAACTTAGAGATTACAGTACTGTTAATGATACTAAAGTGAGTTTCATTTGAATGATAATCTTAAAGATTTTCAAATAATGTGTTCTCATGTTCTGTATTATAAGAGTTATGAAAAAATTTATTTCTAAATTATTTTATCAATCTTTTAATGTTTAGTAAAATAATGTATATTATGTGACATTTTGAAGGGGTTGAGGATTATTCTCTTCCATATCAACAGAATTTACTGAATACTTATATTTATGACAAATTTACTATATTTATTGACACCATAAAACATTTAGATGTTTGTAAACTTTAAAACAAATAGTTTCGTTTAGTTTTGTCAGAATTGGTGCCAAATATTACAACAAATAACTGTTTCTAATAAGAAATTCAAATACAAATGCAACACAAAAATGATAATTAGAGACAAATTGTATAATAATATTGAAGACCACGAATTGAATGTGAAATGATTACAACGTTTTAATAATGAAAGGGTCTCTGCATTAGAAATATTGTGTTATTCTCGAGTTAATCGACTTAATAGTTGACTGAATCGCACGCATATAATACATGTAGTACTACAGTGTATCTCATTATTATGATTATGATTATAATTGCAGTTAAGTTAGAAAGTCTTCCCATCCATACATTAAAATACATGTTTTGCTTTTATTAATAATCAAACATGAAGAAAATAGTGACAACAATTCATATATTTTATACAAAACACAGACATTAATGCAAACACTTTTATATGCTGTATATTGTATTCCCAGTCCAGACTCTGCCGTCAAATCAATCACTACTTAATGTTTGCTTTTCATGACTTATAGACAAATTAATTTGAATGAGAATTCAATCAAATATATATGTATTTGAATGTTAAGAGACAACACTTTCTGTATCCATGTATTGTCGCTAATCATTCATTAATGGTTTAAACCAGAAAATCATTTTATTGTATAAATATATTTCAATGTTTGTAAAGTAAGAGTTTTTAAAATTGTTAAATAAAAATCTGTTTCTAAATAAGTGAGTTATTTGCAAACAGTATGAAAACGGTACATTATTATAAAGTGTATCAATTGTAAGTGATTTTCAACAAACATGTTCACCAAATGATGGGTTTCTTAACAGAATAAATGGTAAATAAAAGTAAGGATAAGGTTTGATATAATACTTAATGTGAGTATTAAATAGAGTAAAGGCATGAATATAGACATCCAATTGATTGGAAGACCACAAAAATATCACTCAATTATATCTGCTTTTATATAAAGTATATAAAAAGGGAGATATTTATACCTTAATTGCTGTTTTAGAAGTGGTTTATGCACTATAAGTAAGAAAAGTGATGTGTTTTAAGTGATAAGTAAACCATAATAATAGCCATTATTATTATTTGATATTATCTTAAAGAAGAAAATAATTATCAAAAAATTCTTATGTCATATATTGTATGATACAGTAGGTTAACAAAAATTGTCATTCAATAGACTTGATTATACCGTAAGTATATTTAAAGCCAAAGTCAAAATTGAAAGAATGGAAAGTTTTTTCTAATTTCTATAAGTTATGGTTTTAATCAAAAATATATTTACATTTTCATGCTTGTCTATCAGAATACTATTTTATATGTTAATCTAAACTATTATTTCGTTTTATGTATTTGTTAAGTAAGAAATAGAGAATTAATTGAAAAGTAATGTCACCATTAATAATGTATCATGTTTACACAGATTAAAAACAAAATTCTTAATATAAATATATCTACAAAACTAATTTTGTTTCAAAAAATTTTGTCCAAACATTCAATTCACTCGATATATTGAATGCTTACAAATATTTATAGTAAATATGATACTATATTTAGAAAACGTTTT